GCCCACCCAGACTCTTGGAACCATACACCCATGAGGGAGAACTTAAGGTAAAGCTAACAAGGGAAGTTTCTCCCGAGAAGCAGATGGCCTCCTAGATGTGGACAGATTTCCCAAGATCGTGCATCAAGATTCTCTGCTATCATGAGGCTTTTAGCTCTCAATTTTTTCCAAGTTCATGCCTGTTATGAACAACTGAACTGAAAAAGGGGTCTCTTGTATATACTCATAGGGTATACTTTTATTTGTGAAGGATAAAAAAACCTCATACTGGCTGGGTGCGGTGGCTCACGCCTATAATCCCAGCACTTTGGGAAGCCAAGGCGGGTGGATCATGAGGTCAGGAGATCGAGCCCATCCTGGCCAAGGTGAAACCCCGTCTCTACTAAAATACAAAAAATTAGCCAGGCATGGTGGCACATGCCTGTAGTCCCAGCTACTCGAGAGGCTGAGGCAGGGGAATCACTTGAACCCGGGAGGTGGAGGATGCAGTGAGCCGAGATCATAGCCTGGCAACAGAGCAAGACTCAGTCTCAAAAAAAACCCTCACCCACAGAGAACTTTACGCCTTGATAGAGGGAAGATGAAGGGCCAATGTGGGTGAGAAATTTTAATGGTACCTTTGTTGCTTCATAATCAGTCAGAAACAGAGCACTGGCCAACTCCTCTTAAGCTACATCATAGTTTAAAGAGAAAATTGTCAGTCATGTGTGGTGGCTCATGCCTGTAATCTCAGCAGTTTGGGACGCCAAGGCAGGCAGATCACGAGGTCAGGAGATGGAGACCATCCTGGCTAACGTTAGTGGTGAAATCCCACTCTACTAAAAATACGAAAATTTAGCCGGGTGTGGTGGTACATGCCTATGCTACTTGGGAGGCTGAGGCAGGAGAATCGAGTGATCCTGGGAAGCAGAGATTGCAGTGAGACGAGATCAAGCCACTGCACTCCAGCCTGGGTGACTGAGCGAGACTCCATCTCCAAAAAAAAAAAAAAAAAGAAAAAAGAAAAAAAAACCCAGAGAACATTGTCAATACAGGTTAAAGAGAATATTGACAGGAGGCCTTCTCTCTTCTGGATGGGCATATTTGTTCATTTATTTTTCTATGGTGTGTCTTTTTCTTTTTGGAGACAGGGTCTGGCTCTGCTGCCCAGGCTGGGATGCAGTGGCATGATCTCGGCTCACTGCAACCTCTGCCTCCTGGGCTCAAGCAATCCTCCCACTTCAGCCTCCTGAATAGCTGGGACCACAGGCGTGCACCACTGCGCTCAGATGAGTTTTGAATTTTCAGTAGAGACAGGGTTTTGCCATGTTACCTAGGCTGGTCTTGAACTCCTGAGCTCAAGCAATCTGCCTACCTCAGTCTCCCAAAGTGATTACAGATTACAGGTGTCAGCTGCCGTGCCTGGCCTATGGTTTGGAGTTAACGAGGCAATGATTAGAAATTTATCCCTCTAAATTTTCCAGCCTATTAGAAATTTATAGGCTCTTTAGCAGAGTCTACTACAAAGACTATGGTTACACAAAAGACTTTAAATTCTCTTGCTAAAGTTGTGCTAGATAATAGAACTGCTCTAGATTAGTTAGTGGCTAAACAGAAGTATCTGTGCAGTTGCTGATACTTCTTATTGAACATGGAGGAATACATTGGCTATTACAGAGATTCAGTTGTAGAGAATTAACAAATAGGCTGCTTGGTTGAAACAAGTAGACTCTTATTCTAGCTTATTCTTTGATCTATTTGATTTTAGGTGGCTTGGTTCATGGGGACCTTGGCTAAGGAGCATACTCCAAACTCTTGGGGTTATTCTCCTGATAGTCGTAAGAGTAGTCTCCCTGGGATACTATACTCTCTCAAAAGTTTTAAGTGTTTGCATATGGCCATCTGCAGAATGTCAAATGGTCTCTCTTGAATTGGAACAAAAACTCAAAGAAATGCGTGAGCATGAGGACGCCATACTTATGAATGACATACTGAGACCAGAAACCCAAAATCTCAGTAACTGAGAGTGGTGCTAAGGTCCTAAGTTTTGGTCACACTCTTACCTAAGTGAGGACCTAACCAAAAGGGAGGAATTTTTAAACAAAATTATAGGAGGTCATTGTTTTGGACCAAGCTTATGCACAAGGCTCCAACAGACCACACCAAACCAAAATGGAGTCACTCATGCTAAATGTGAGACAATTACACTGAAACACTGAAGAAAGAAATAGATCCTAAAATAGACCAGGTTTTGTTTTTCTCCTGAAAACAGGAAATTTCAGCACAAGGAGGTCCCCTCTACTCTTACCCTTAGGAAAAAGTAACTTGAAGTCCTTGTTCCCATTTTACAAAACCCATTGTTCTGCTATTTCCCAGTGGGATTTGAGACCAAATAAGTAAATTTATGATGGTGACAGAGTGACATGAATGCCAATCCATTAAAAAACACACACACACACACACACACACACACACACACACACAAATTTGGGGGGTAGATCAAAGGGGATAACTGTTAAGTTTTGCTTAAAGCTACCTCCTTACATCTTTTAAGTTCAGCCTAGAGGTTTCTCTAAACATCGTAAACTGTAACCTAGGCCAGGCGCAGTGGCTCACGCCTGTAATCCCAGCACTTTGGGAGGCCGAGGCAGGCAGATCACCTCAGGTCAGGAGTTTGAGACCAGCCTGGCCAACACAGTGAAACTCCATCTCTACTAAAAATACAAAAATTAGCTGGGCGTAGTAGTGCGGGCCTGTAGTCCCAGCTACTCCAGAGGCTGAGGCAGGAAAATCGCTTGAACCTGAGAGGTGGGGGTTGCAGTGAGCTGAGATCATGCCACTGCACTCCAGCCTAGGTGACAGAGCAAGACTCTGTCTCAAAACAAAAACAAAAAACTGTAACCTAACTGGATGGGTAAATAGGATATAAGCTACTTGTGTAGCAAACAATGAGTTTCAGCCAATCAATTACAGCTAACTGTTCAAACCATCTTCAAATAAGGCAAATGCCAAGCTGTAACCAATCCATCTGTTTCTGTACTTCATTTCCATATTCTGTATGCCACTTTCCTTTTTCTGTCCATAAATCTTCTTCAGCCATGCGGCTGCTGGAAGTCTCTCTGAACTTATTCTTGTTCCAGGAGCTGCCTGATTAGAAAAACATTCTTTGTTCAATTATAAACTCTGTTAAATTTAATTCGTCTGAAGTTTTTATTTTAACAGAAGATATGATTAGCTCTATTTTACAAAGGTGAACATTGAACAATAATGAGATTAATAAATTATCCACAGTAATAAATCCAGGTAGTGGCAAATCTGGGAAGTATACCTAAACTGTCATTGAAAGACAATGATGTTGCTACTAGCCTACAAAAAGCAGTTGTGATATTGTGAAATACACATTTGTTGGCCATTCCCATTTCCTAGCAGACAACTCCTAAAATCCTTAGAAACTCCTCAGTGTTATCTTTTTGTATGATACTGATTGACTAATGGCTGGTAGCCTTATAGGTAGCTTTAGGATGGGGTCTGGTCACCAGAAAGGCAAGGCAGGATTAGAGGGTTGGGACTTTCAGCCCCACACCCCCAACCTCCAAGGAGGTAAAAGGGGACAAAAGTTAAGTTGATAACTAATGGCTAACAGTTTAATCATTGAGGCCTATGTAATGAAGCATTCATAAAAACCCAAAAGGACGGGGTTTGGAGAGCTTCTGGCCAGCTGAATGCACAAAGGTTCCTGGAGGGTGGTGTGCCCAGGGATGGCATGGAAGCTCCACTCTCCCTCCCCATACCTCGCCCTATGCATATCTTTACTGCATCCTTTGTAATATCTTTTATAATAAAACAGTAAACATAAGTGTTTCCTTAGTTCTGTGAGCTGCTCTATCAGATGAATCTACCTTGAAGAGGGGGTCATGGGAACTCATGACCAGAAGCCTGGACTTGCTACTGGCATCTGAAGCAGAGTGCAGCCTTGTGGGACTGAACCTTGAATCTGTGGAATCTGATGCTATCTCCAGGAAGACAGTGTAATGACTGAATTGGAGGACACCCAGCTGGTATCCACTGCAGAACTGATTGTTTGCTTGGTGTGTGGGGAAACCCTCCCCACATTTAGTCACAAGAGTCTTCTGTGTTGATTGTTGTGGTGTGAGAGCAGAGATAAAACATGGTTTGAGCTTGCGTTTTGTCCATTCACAGTAGTCTATAAGGATGTCTAGTAGAATCAATCAAGGAATTTACTATGACTAACAAATTTTTCACCAAACTATTGAGAAGAAACTTTTTTTTTTTTTTTTTAAAGACGGAGTCTTGCTCTGTTGCCCAGGCTGGAGTGCAGTGGCACAATCTCGGCTCACGGCAAGCTCCACCTCCGGGGTTCACGCCATTCTCCTACCTCAGCCTCCCGAGTAGCTGGGACTACAGGTGCCCGCCACCACGCCCGGCTAATTTTTTGTATTTTTAGCAGAGATGGGCTTTCACTGTATTAGCCAGAATGGTCTCAATCTCCTGATCTTGTGATCCACCTGCCTTGGCCTCCCAAAGTGCTGGGATTATAGGCGTGAGCCACCACGCCCGGCCAAGAAGAAACATTTTTAAAGGTTCAGTGACTAGGCTGGGCGCAGTGGCTCACGCCTGTAATCCCAGCACCTTGGGAAGCCAAGGCAGGCAGATCACCCGAGGTCAGGAGTTTGAGACCAGCCTGGCTAACAAGGTGAACCCCCATCTCTACTAAAAATACAAAATTAGCTGGGCATGGTGGCACACACCTGTAATCCCAGCTACTCGGGAGGCTGAGGCAGGAGAATCGCTTGAGCCTGGGAGGTAGAGGTTGCAGTGAGCTGGGATCGTGCCACTGCACTTCAGCCTGGGCAACAGAGTGAGACTTCGTCTCAAAAAAAAAAAAAGTTTCAGTGATTACATATACTTCATATTAAGGCAAAATTTGTTAGAACATTAGATGAGTAATTTAAAGTCTAAACACAAAAAAGTCCCAAAGCCAAGGTAATGACATGCCTTACTTCAATATTTCTTCTCTGCACTGCCTCTGTGTGGCAAAACAAGCGATAGCCCACATTTTGATTTCAACTCCTGTGTGGAATTGCTTCCCTCGCATATCCCATACTCCGTGGCTTGGTGTTGCTACTGTCCGATTCTATGTGAGGAGAAAAAAATAACATGGTGAAAAAGAACAAAAATTTTCAATAAACAGAAAGTAAAAATTTCAAATCGCTGAACCGAAATATTTCTGATATGCCTTTCTCTCCATACTGTATGTATATGATTAAAACATTAACAAGAGGCTTTACCCGTCCTCCATACTGGAGCATAGGTGCTGGAAGTACGCGTCCAGTTACATGAGCCATTTCATCCCGAACTTTAAATTGAAACTCCTGAACAAATGGATCCGTTTCGTAATTTGCACTTCTTACCTAAAAATAGAAAAAGTTTGTAGTTACTCTCAAAATTCCTCCAAATCCCCTACTTTACTGCATTAGAACCCTCTTTTTTTTCTTCACTGTGTAAATAATGTTTTCCAACAGGTCTAACCAATGGTGCTCTAACTACAGAATAGCAAATCTTAACCTGGGGACCATGGGTCATGAATGGACTATAGAAATTCTGTGACCTCCTGGTAATTTATACAAAATTTAAATGTATGCATTAGGTTGAATAATATATTTTGGCCTGGCATGGTAGTCCATGCCTGTGATCTCAGCATTTTTGGAGGCCAAGTTGGAGGACTGCTCGAGCCCAGGAGCTTGAAATCAGCCTGGGCAACATAGTGAGACCCTGTCTCTACAAAAAATTAAAAAATTAGGCTGGGCCTGGTGGCTCACATCTGTAATCCCAGCAGTTTGGGAGGCTGAGGTGGGAGAATTGCTTGATCTCAGGAGCTCAAGACCAACCTGGGCAACAAAGTAAGACCTCATCTCTACAAAAAATTAAAAAGAATTAGCCAGATGGGGTGCCACGTGCCTGTGGTCCCAGCTATTTGGGAGGCTGAGGTGAGAGAATTGCTTGAGCCTGGGAGCTCAAGGTTGCAGTGGGCTGTGATTGCACCACAGTACTCCAGCCTGGGGGTCAGAGCAAGAACCCGTCTCAAAAGAAAAACAAAAAATCCATGAAAATGATAATAAAACTTTTTTTTTTTTAAAGAGATGGAGTCTTGCTATATTATTCAGGCTGGCCTCGAACTCCTGGGCTCAAGCCATCTTCCTCTCTCAGCCTCCTAGATAGCTGGGAACCTAGGCATGCACCACTATGTACTACCCAGCTGAAAACGGTAAGTTTGTATGATTGAACCTAATATGCTTTTGGATGGAGAAAGAAATATCTCACCTAAAAAGAGGTTAAGAACCTTTGACTATAGGAGATCTGGATACATTCTATTAAAATTTATTTTGTGTAGAGTTTGATAGGAAGTATTAAAAATCTTAAGGCTTTTTAAAATTATTTGATTTATAATTTATATATAATTACTTGACTATTTTCAGTGCCATAATACACAATTTATTTAATGGAATACACTTAAGACAGATAAGAAAGCCAGTAGGAGTCACAGGTTATAATTGTTATATATTCCCATACATATAACCAAAGAGAAGGAACTTAATGTAATTCAGTGTTGGATCTCACTGAAATTCATGCTTAAAGCATGCTACACAGAATCTCTCCACAATAAACAGGAAAAATCATTTTTTTTTCTTTTTTTTTTTTGAGACGGAGTCTCGTTCTGTCACCCAGGCTGGAGTGCAGTGGCTGGATCTCAGCTCACTGCAAGCTCCGCCTCCCGAGTTTACGCCATTCTCCTGCCTCAGCCTCCCGGGTAGCTGGGACTACAGACGCTCGCCACCTTTTTTTGTAGAGACGGGGTTTCACTGTGTTAGCCAGGATGGGCTCAATCTCCTGACCTCGTGATCCGCCTGTCTCGGCCTCCCAAAGTGCTGGGATTACAGGCTTGAGCCACCGCGCCTGGCTCATTTTTTCTTTTCTTTTTTTTTTTTGAGACAGGGTCTGGCTCTGTCACCTAGTGGCACAATCACAGCTCACTGCAACTTCAGCCTCCTGGGGTCCAAGCGATCCTCCCACCTCAATCTCCTGAGTAGCTGGGACTATAGGTGCATGTCACACACCTGGATAATTAAATTTTTTTTTAGGGATGGGGTCTCACTATGTTGCCCAGGCTGGTCTTGAACTCCTGGGCTCAACTGATAGTCCTGCCTTGGCCTCCCAAAGTGATGGGTTATAGATGTAAGCCCCATTTTCTAAATTAGGTACCAATGGGGCATCTCTTTCAAGCTTATTTGCCATTCATTTCTGTACTTCAGTGTATCCTGTAATGAGGTTACAGTGAATAACAAGGACTATACAATAACAATTAACATACTGTGACTTGTTGCATGATGTACTTGGTGCTAAATGCTTAATGATACATTTTCACAAGTATTTTATAGCTATGAAAGCAGTTCTTTCATAACCTGTATCTTTCCAGATACTATAAATATAATAATAAACATAATAATATGATAAGAGTAAGTAAATGGAGAAGCTAGACTTCGAACCCAGGGTTGTTAGACTCCAAAGTCGGTTTTATTTTTTTAAACTACCATATGATACTTTCTGAACAGCTGAGCTGTAATAAATGAGTTAGAACAGTGAGTTATTGAGACTTTTATAGAGAAAGTAAGAGGTCTTAGTTTCCAGAAGATTTTGGGAAAGCTTTTAAAATCTTATAGAATCAGAGAAAAATCCAGGATGAAAACCAGCCTATATTTTCCTAATTAAATATCATGTAATAACTTTCTTTGACTCTTTACAGAAGAGTCAATAAGGAAAAAAAGGTATTTTTTTCTGTAGTTGGCTTACCAAATAGAAGAACCAGTTTTTAGCCAAAGATGAAATTACTAAGGTTAAAAAATAAATTAAAAAGCCAGTTTTGCATCCCTATTTTCAATAATCTTTAAAATTGCTTTTGGAAGTATTATTAAGTTGTTTTGGGAAATATTCGTATTTCCAGATTTTTTTCTCTTTGGGCAGTTAAAATGGTATTCGAGAAAACAGCCAGATAAGATTCAGATGCCCTTTTATCTTGAGTTTTGTCTTATTCTATGAGTTTTAAAAAATGATATTGGTAACGCCTTCCTTCCCTTCATTTAGAACAATGAGACAGCACAGAGACCTTACGTGGTTAAAACTATCTTCTATTTTTTTTCTTTTTTCTTTCTTTCTCTTTCTCTCTTTCTTTTTTGAGATGGAGTTTCGCTCTTGTTGCCCAGGCTGGAGTGCAGTGGTGCAATCCCGGCTCACTGCAACCTCCACCTCCCGGGTTCAAGCGATTCTCCTGCCTCAGCCTCCTGAGTAGCTGGGATTACAGGCATGCGCCACCACGTCTGGCTAATTTTGTATTTTTGTAGACACAGGGTTTTTCCATGTTGGTCAGGCTGGTCTTGAACTCCTAACCTCAGGTGATCCGCTCCCCTCTCGGCCTCCCAAAGTGCTGGGATTACAGGCCCTGAGCCACCGCGCCTGACCTTTTTCTTTTCTTTTCTTTTTTTTTTTTGAGACAGAGTCCTACTTCATTGTCCAGGCTGGAGTGCAGTGGTGTGATCGGCTCACTGCAGCCTCTGCCTCTCAGGTTCAAGTGATTCTCGTGCCTCAGCCACCTGACTAGCTGGGATTACAGATGCATGCCACCATGCCCCACTAATTTTTGTGTTTTTAGTAGAGATGGCATTTCACCATGTTTCCCAGGCTGGTCCCAAATTCCTGGCCTCAAGTGATCCACCTGCCTTGGCCTCCCAAACTGCTGGGATTACAGATGTGAGCCACTGAGCCCAGCCATTTCTTTATTCAGACTGTATAGCTGCCACTCTGATACTGGAGACTAAGCAATCTTAGACTGAGTGTTAAGAATTTTAGTATTGGCTGGGCACGGTGGCTCACGCCTGTAATTCCAGCACCTTGGGAGGCCGAGGTGGGCGGATCATGAGGTCAGGAGATCAACACCATCCTGGCTAACACGGTAAAACCCCATCTCTACTAAAAATACAAAAAAATTAGCCTGGCGTGGGGGCGTGCGCCTGTTGTCCCAGCTGCTGGCGAGGCTGAGGCAGGAGAATGGTGTGAACCCGGGCGGCAGAGCTTGCAGTGAGCCAAGATCACACCACTGCACTACAGCCTGGGTGACAGAGCAAGACTTTGTCTCTGAAGGAAAAAAAAACAAAAAACCAAAAACAGAATTTTAGTATTGCTAGTCATAATTGACTTTTCCTCCTATTTCCCACCTCTTTTAGGTGGAGGTTCCAGTTTACTAAATTGAAACATTTCTTCTGAGAGGATCTGTTCCCTGGATCTACTTAAAAAGCTCAGTGTTCAATGAGAAGGACCTAACCCTTCTCATATAGCCCACCAAGACTTGTATCGAGAACATTAGATTACTTCCATGATCCCTTTTAATTCTGACAGTCCGTGAAATGGTAATAAGGTATGGGTTGATAAGGACATGGTTCTCTAGTATTATAGTTTGCCCTAATATGTTTTAAATTCTCATTTCTAAGGTTAAGTACTCACCAATCTGCTAATTTCCTCTTGTCTATCTGGTGCAGATCTTGCTGTTGCCTTGATCATAGTGGAAGTCTGATTGTCTGTTAGCTTCTTGATACATCGTTGCCCTGCCACAATATTACAGACCTACAAATGGAAAAAAGTTTTGTACTAGATGTATATGTCTTTTTTTTTTAGCTTTTACTTAGTGTCAATTAAATGTAAAATAAAAATTTAAAATCTACTTCATTAAACCACTTATTTTCAATATGTTAAGTAAAAAAGTAGTAAACAAGATGGCTCTACAGTATGATTATAATTAAGTAAAATGTACACCAGAGGAAGACTGAAAGAAGTATAGTATATCAAAATGTTAACAGTGGTTACACTAGACTTGTAGGACTATGGATGAACTTGTTTCGTGTTATTTCATTACAGAAAATTTAGAATAAATTAAAACTTAAAAACAGTTCATATTCCAAAACAAATGTTCTGTATGAGGTAAGTTATCGGCCATAAAAGACCCCAAAAGAATGATGAACAGGGTATGAATTAGCAGTGGGAAGGCATTACTTCTAGCGGCAGGTAGGTGTGTTTCTGCTCCTGCCCGACTTGCAGGCAGGGAAGGTGCGGGTACTTCAGCTGAAGAGTATACTTTTCTCTGAAATACTGCGCTACTGTTCTCTCCACAGTTTGGCCATTTTCCAACTGTAAAGGAAAGCTGAGGAAAAAAAAAAGTACACATGAACAATTATTTCCCAGTAAGAGTCAGAAAAACTCCCAACCCCACTAACTAGGGCAAGCTGCCTCACACCATCGCTGCTCTGACAAACTTTTCTTACGTTTGATGACTGGCAGGCCTCCTTGTTACATTACAAACACGGTATTTCCGTCTCATTGTTCCACAATGAGTCACTTCAACCTTCAAACCTGTTCCCAACAAGAAAAATGGAGGTTACAGAACTGTCACATGTAAAATATTTATACTTATAAAGCCTGTTCATACTATAAAAACTCAATTCTGAACAGACAAAAAATTCTGTGATACAGGCAATATGATATAAACACCAGATTTTACATATAACATTGCTAATAATGGTCACAATCATGACAGACCTAATGGCAAAATTTTTCCTTACCCCATCAAGCCTATACATTAAAAAATAAAATCGTAAAATTTGCAAAGCCCATAGATCAAGGGCCAAAATCTTCCATTAATAAAAAACACTGTTTACAATAAATTCAGGTATTTATGCTGGGAGAGGGAAGGTGGAATGAAAGAGGAATTCCAATAATTCTCAAGGTATTCCATAATTTCAAATTATGTGATATTTACCTAGCCCAGTCATCACATACTGATTGAAGATCAGAATTTCATAAAGCTCAAGAAAGAAGCCCTTTAAAGATTTATAAAGCAGGAGAAAAAAATACCAGGCATTTTTAACAGAAGTGACAATTTTATAGAAGTATAATATAGTGACACAGCTCTTTTCCAATACTATTAAAAATCAAATGCAACCAAAATAATTCCTAAAGTAGGCGATCCCTATCCTCTTACGGAGTCAAGACCCCTTTGAGAATCTGACGTAAGCAATAAACTCTCAGCAAAATGCACATATACATTATTTAGCACGTGATTTTAGGAGTTATTGGATCCCTGCAGTCCATCTGTGGACTCTAGGAGTTCAAGGATCCCAGGCCTGCTCTAGCATGTGAAGAAATGGGCTTTAAGCCATTGACTGAAGTTCTTCGAGATGAATTTTCTGAAGCAGTGCTGTCAAAGAGAATTTTCTTGAGATGATGGAATGTTCTACATCTATGCTAATATGGTAATCACTAATAACATGTTACTAAGCATAGGAAATGTAGCTGGTGTACCTAAGAAACTGAAAATCTAATTTTATTTCTTTACATATAGATTTTTTTTTTTTTTTTTTTTTTTTTTTGCTCTTGTTGCCCAGGTCAGAGTGCAATGACGCGATCTTGGCTCACTGCAACCTCTGTCTCCAGGGTTCAAGCGATTCTCCTGCCTCAGCCGCCCGATTAGCTGGGATTACAGGCACCCGCCATTACGCCCAGTTAATTTTTGTATTTTTAGCAGAGATGGGGTTTCACCATGTTGGTCAGGCTGGTCTCAAACTCCTGACCTCAGTTGATCCACCCACCTCGGCCTCCCAAAGTGTTGAGATTACAGACGTGAGCCACCACACCTGGCCTTAATTTTAATTAATTTAAATTTAAGTGTCTACATGTAGTCAGGGCAGTCTTGGCCTAAAGAAGAGTTAACAGGTACACAGAGGTCACAGATAAGCATCTCCTTTCTAAAGTTTGGCCTAGACTCCAAAGGATAAAGTACAAAATGGCGTAGATGGAGAACAACTTTTAGTTCCCTGATAATATTTATGGTTATTATTCTTTGTCATATTTCTCTTTTATATTTGTGATTCCTATACTGCAGTGGTTCTTAGCCAGAGGCCAATCTGTCCCCCAGGGGACATTTGGCAATGTCTGGAGATATTTTTGATTGGCATGACTGGGGATGTTACTACTTTCTATTGAGTAGAGGCCAGGGATAGTATGAAATATCCTGTAATGCACAGAACAGCCCTACCCCCAATCCCAACAAAGAATTATCCAGCCCAAAATGTCAATGCTGCTGAGGTTGAGAATGCCTGCTGTGGTAAAATGTATTTTCTTACCTAACTGCTACCTGCAATTAGGTAAGAAAATTAGTACCAAACACAAAGATCAATCATATAAATGATATTTTCTTCTGATAGATCAGAACAAATTAAGACGTTAAATGGACATGGTATCCATCCCTGTACCAGATTGGTATGGGTTTGTTTTTCTTCAGAAGTGCTCCTCCTTGAATCAGTGAGTAGTAGTTTTTCATTAAAACTACCTTTATAAGACAAAAATGTCAGATCAACTAGAGAATTACTGTGTCTTTATATTATAAAGGAGACTAGAAAATAAAATACTATCAAAGGAGGATCTTAAAAGAAGGAAATACTGGCCGGGCGCGGTGGCTCAAGCCTGTAATTCCAGCACTTTGGGAGGCCAAGACGGGCGGATCACGAGGTCAGGAGATCGAGACCATCCTGGCTAACACGGTGAAACCCCGTCTTTACTAAAAAATACAAAAAACTAGCTGGGCGAGGTGGCGGGCGCCTGTAGTCCCAGCTACTCGGGAGGCTGAGGCAGGAGAATGGCGTAAACTCGGGAGGCGGAGCTTGCAGTGAGCTGAGATTCGGCCACTGCACTCCAGCCTGGGCCACAGAGCAAGACTCCGTCTCAAAAAAAAAAAAAAAAAAAGAAGGAAATACTAATAATATGAAGTAAACAAGATGTAAAAATACTATGTTCAGGGGAGAACACAATAGAAAAGTCTAAAACAAATTTCTGTTATTTGCACCACTTAGCAATTTATTTTCAACTCTTCAAATTAAAAAAAAAATTAATAAGGTTCTCCGAGCCTATAAAGTAAACTTTTACTAAAAATAAGATGGCACTAATATATATATATATGGTACTTTTACCATACATTTTCCCCAATATTTCTGCTGTTTAACTATCATGAGTTACTGGATAAAGAAACCACTTCAAAGTTATTATTAAATATTTTGGTACAAGTTCAACTGGAATAAGATGAATATACTAAGAAAATCAATTCTTTATTGTATACTTTGCGTCAATATTTAACAGCTAGCATCAAATTCTTCATACCAGCTAAAAAACCCATAGATACAGGACAGAACATAAAACTCTTATTCTCTTGGGTTACTGTAGTAGGAATACATGATATACTTTAAAGAGCCTTTTTAAAATTTTTTTTTAAAAAAGCACTATTTTACTTGGAACGAAGAAAAAATAATCAGTTTGTCAACTGGATCCAACCCAGATTTTTCCATCCCCAAACTAGGATCATAGGTACCTAAGAATTAGACCAAAAATCTAGGGGCTAGCAAAAAGCTGAAATTTTTAAAAAGTGGACTAGATAATTCTCTGCCCAGGTCCCTCCCCAAACCCTCCATCCAACCAAAAAAACACTTTTGGCTTTAATAAATATTTAACCTATAAACTTGGCTTTACCTTCACTATAACATCAACTTTATTATGCTTTCTAGTCATTTTTTCAGTCATTTCTTTGGGCCCCTGAGCAGTTGAAGTTAAGATCGAGTCCATGCTCTTCGGGCAGCAGTTGAATCCTTGTTCTGTACATCTTGTATTTTCTGTGATAGAGTGGTGATATGAGTTGATTGCATAGTTACCGCAAAATAATGTAAGTGACTTCATGATATCAGAGGTGGTAACTAAGCAGCAACTCCACTGGAAACCATGGCATTTAGATGATCACATATTAATGGTAGGTAATGCACTAACCTCCTGACAATGCCAGCTGTGCAGTTAATACAAATTATGAAAGGACAATGGTATGGTTGCAAAACAGTTACATAAACAGTTTCTTATTTTGGCATTTAAATAACTTGAGATAAATGGATGTTTATTTTTGAAGCAGGGTGGATCTTCCTTTTAATGTTTTATTACAATGACTATCTCTCTCTTGGTTACTGAATGGCAAAGAATGAATGATTACTGGTGCAAGCAGAATGTGTTAAACTACTCCAATTGATCTAGGGGAACTGAAAGATGTTCAGTGAACAAACTTAAATGCTTCATTCAAACCACAAGCTGAAAATTATCTGCAATAAATAGGTAAAATCTTAAAATAAAAACAACATTATTATTTCTGGCTATTTAAGATCTAACAATATAAATACAATTTATCCTACTCATTCTGATTAGAGAGTATCAGACTAAATACATATAAAATATAGATTTCAGTACACTATTAAAATTATTTTTTGTTTTTATTTTTGGGCAGCCATGTAGAGATGAATTTATCTGAATTAAATGTACATATGATGCAACAGCACTCTACAAATTTTAGCTACTAAGCATAACAGATAAGATCAACAGTCAACTCTATAACTTATATTAAATAACTATAATTCTAGAATAACACATGAAACAGGCTAGCCCCACATTAATACATTTTCAAAGGACTGAAATAAATATCATTTCAGAAAAATAAGGAAGTAATTATATTAGAATATGTTCAAAGAATGATTCTAGTTCTAAAATAACAAATATTTTTGGAGTCAGCTTCCTACTTTTAACAGTATTACTAAAGCATTTTCCCACGAGACATTCTTATCCCTTCAGCTAGTAAGGGAAAGTATTAACAAAAAATTAGCTGGCAGTGATACTAACTCCATTACTTGGCATTTCTTTCAAATACCACCTAAGATGTTATAGTAATGAATTTAATGTAATATTTTATTTTATAATTGATGTATAGTTTTACTGGTTATGTTACATAAATAGATTTTAATTATACAAAAAAACATTTTAATAAAAGGTTGTTATATCCATGCATTTTATAGTTAAGTTGTGCTAAATGCTAATTAATTCACCTTTTATCTCTTTGGTGAATTTTACCCGATGAGAATCAGTCAGAGGTCTTGGTTGCTCATCAATATTATGAATATCAAGAACTTCACACATGAACTGAATTACAGGTTGTGCTTTGTAGAAGGCAGTGGCAGAAACTAAGAAGAAAAACACAAATAATACAAATTAATGTTTCCCTAAAAAATTCAGAAATTTCATCTTAGGCTCCATGATAACTATCTATTTAAAATGATCCCTTATGCACACTTATGTACACACAAATTTCCAAAATTAAGCAGTTTTAATTTGACCTCTGAGGCACAAATACAGAATGGCCAGATACTACAGTTTTTATTACCTATCACTTTCATCAAAGTAACTGATTCATTCCATTGTCTATAGAGAAGTGTTCTGGGTGAGACAAGGCTTGTAAGAGACAAAGAAGGCTGGTGAGATGGTTAGGTATTATTTCTTTTTAAATAGAAGCAAGGTCTCACTATATTGTTCAGGCTGGTTTCCATCTCCTGAGCTCAAGTAATCCTCCTACCTCAGCCTCCCAAAGTGGTAGGATTACAGGTGTTAGCCACCACACTTGGCCAGTATTATTTCTTAAACAAGGCTTTCTATGCCACCCTAGACTGTCTATTCTAATGAGAGTTTTCCCTGTCTTGTAATGATTTGAAAAAACAGTGGTATTAGTCGTTGGTGCTAATCTAAGCTACAGATAATAATATACATATACATATATATACACACACACACATATATATATACATAAAATATTTTATATATATAAAATTTTTTTTTTTTTGAGACAGAGTCTCACTCTGTGGCCCAGGCTGGAGTGCAATGGCGCGATCTTGGCTCACTGCAATCTCCCCCTCCCAGGTTCAAGCAATTCTCCTGCCTCAGCCTCCCGAGTAGAGTAGCTGGGATTACAGGCACCCACCACCATGTCCAGCTAATTTTTGCATTTTTAGTAGAGACGAGGTTTTACCATGTTGGCCAGGTTGGTGGCTCATGCCTGTAATCCCAGAATTTTGGGAGGCCGAGGCGGGCAGATCATGAGGTCAGGAGTGTAAACTTGTTATGTGGGGATCCTTCTCTTGCTTTCCTTGGTTTAACATTAAATGTCCTCCATAAAATGTCCCTTACCTCTGGGAAGATATTTTCAAAGCTTTAACAGTAGTTATCTCTGGATAAATGTGGGTGGTGAGGCTACTGTGGGTATTTTATTTTCTTTAAAATATTTTTGGCCGGGCATGGTGGCTCACACCTATAATCCCAGCACTTTGGGAGGCCGAAAGAGACGGACTGCCTGAGCTCAGGAGTTCAAAACCAGCCTAAGCAACATGGTGAAACCCCATCTCTACTGAAATTACAAAAAAATTAGCCGGGTGTGGTGGCGTGCGCCTGTAATCCCAGCTACTCAGGAGACCGAGGCTTGAGAATGGCTTGAACCTGGGAGGCCAAGGTTGCAGTGAGCGGAGATCATGCCACTGCACTCTAGTCTGGGTGACAGAGTGAGGCTCTGTCTCAAAAAAAAAAAAAAGTTATCTTGTCTGGGTACAGTGGCTCACGCCTGTAATCCCAGCACTTTGGGAGTCCAAGGTGCACGGATCATTTGAAATTAGGAGTTCAAGATCAGCCTGGCCAACATGGTGAAACCCCATCTCTACTAAAAAATACAAAAATTAGCTGGGTGTGGTGGCAGACGCCTGTAATCCCAGCTACTCAGGAGGCTAAGGCCAGAAAATCACTTGAACCCATGAGGCAACGGTTGCAGTGAGCTGAGATTGTGCCACTGCACTCCAGCCTGGGTGACAGAGCAAGACGTTTCATCTCAAAAAAAAATTTTTTTTTAAATACATTTTTTACTATGAAAAAACACTTTTATCTTTATAACTTCACTTTTTGGTACTGAGTGCATACTGTTTTTTACTTCTTTATTACACAATACATGAATAAAGGTTCATCATAAAAACTCAAACAATACAGAGATACACAAAGTAAAGATCCTCTCCAGTCTGAACCTCCCACCTCCAAATATCTCTAATAAGTAACCATTGTTAGTACTTAGGTATGTACACAACCTCTCCTTTTAATATGCACTTAGATTTGTCAGAAAGGTGATTAAAAAATAAAAATTAATACTAATTTACAAAGATAAAAATGTAGGAATAACTTTTTAGATGAAATCAGATGATAAACATTCTATGACTCATTTTATCATTATTTTAAAAATTAACAATACATCTTAGAGATCTTTTCATGTTAGTACACTCTTTTAATTGCTGCACACTATATTACAGTATGGGTGCATGATAATTAAGTAAATAGGTACTCCCTTTCCCTCTTAATAAAAAATAACACAAATGGTAAAACATTAGAAACACTATACTGTGCCTTGTATGTACTAATATGAAACTATACCATTCTCTCTCATAGCTGCAAGATATCCCATTGTATGGATGTACTTCATATCCCCTAAGGGAGAGTTATGGGTTATTTTTTACTATTACAAACAATATTCCAGTGAATGTTCCTGTGTATGTGTGTGTGTGTGTGTGTTTGTGTACGTATGTGTGTGTATTTATTTTTTTGGTATACATCCATGAGTACTTATTTTTCATTTTTATTTATTTATTCATCTATTTTTGAGACAGAGTCTCCCTCTGTCATCCAGGCTGGAGTGTGGTGGCGTGATCTCGGCTTACTGCAACCTCTGCCTCCCAGGTTCAGGCAATTCTTGTGCCTCAGCTTCCCAAGAGCTGGAATTACAGGTGCATGCCACCACACCCAGTTAATTTTTGTATTTTTAGTGGAGACGGGGTTTCACCATGTTGGCCAGGCTTGTCTCAAACTCCTAGCCTCAAATGATCCACCCGCCTCGGCCTCCCAAAGTGCTGGGATTACAGGCGTGAGCCACCGCACCCGGCCCATGAGTACTTCTGTGAAAAAGATAAGAGAAATCAATACTCACTGCTAAACTTCCATCCAAATAAACTTTAGAAACATTTCCCGTTTCTAACTAATTAAAAAAAAAAAAGAGAGAGACTGTTAAGATTGTAACAGTATTCTGGGTATCTTATTCAAATCCATAATAGTTTTAAATATATATACATTATATTCTTCTACTGAAAAATGTTAGAATATTATAGTGCACAAAAAGGAAGGCTGACAGGACACATACCAAATATAAGTTATATGTTTATAATGTTTAAGTTCTTGGCACATATTGATCTGGGTTAATTTTTAAAAAGTAAATAAAGAAAAATAAATATATAGTGAATAACATGCTTAATTTGCCTTTCTTTTAATCCTACAGGTAAAATTCATTCATTGGATTGCTATAAAACACCAGCATTCACAACTAATATTTCAGATACCATAAAGCTGTAATTACTTGTAACTACTAAACAAACATGCTAGAATTATTTCTCCTGTTTAACCCTCTTCTACTATCTTCCCTGTTTATTCCACTACACTCTGAATCATTTTACTATTGACCATCTTCTCTACAGGAAGGTGGGCATTTGAGGTAAAAATTAAATTTAGTAATAAAAAACTCATAAAGAATGGGTTGAAATCAGCAAATATAGTTTTGAATTAGGAATAAATTTTAATGATCAAATATTTGCTTTTCTGTCTCTCGGATGAATTATTAATATTTAATAAACCTACATATATATGTATTTTATTCTTTCCCTTTCACAAATTAGCTAATTATTACTGAAAAATGTTTACATTTAACATTTAAAACATCTATCAATAAAATATACTACATTAACATGTTACAGGAAATAAGCATATAATCATTTCCATAGATGGCAGTCCCCAAAAAGCAAGCATTTGATAAAATTCAGTACTGAAGTAAATACTCTTATTGTACCAGGACGAGAAGGGAACTTCCCTAATCTGGTAAAAGTTATTTACCAAAACTCTATGGTATTACAACCTGGCAGATACATAAAAAAGAAAAAAAAAAAAACTCTATGGTAAATTCAACTTCATCTTATAGGAAGTTCCAGCTAGCATAGCAAAGCAAATTAGGAGAATAAAAAGTGAAAAGGATGGAAAGAGAGAAACAAAACTATTACCCTTCACAACATTAATTGTGTGCATAGAAAACCCAATAAAATCTATGGACAAATTACAGAATTAATAATTCAGCAATGTTGCTAGATTTAAGGTCTACATATAAAAATAAATTATATTATTATACACTAGCACCCTACTTAAAACGTAATTTAAAAATATATCACTTATGATCACAACAAAAAACATAAGGCATTTGAGATGAAATCTAAACAAAAGGTATGTAAGACCTATGGAAGCAATAAGTATCTCTATTACTGAAAGATACTATAGAAGATCAAATAAATGGAGTAATACACCCTATTCATGTAAATTATCCCCGAATTAATCTTCAAATTCAAAGCACTTTCAGTCAAAATATCAACAGAATGTAATCCTCTCTCCCTCTAGAACTTAAGATACTATAATTAACAAGAAAGCACAATGAAACAAGAATAGCCGTAACAATTCTTTTATTTATTTTTGGACGGAGTCTTGCTCTGTTGCCCAGGCTGCTGGAGTGTAGTGGCGTAATCTCGGCTAACTGCAACCTCTGTCTCCCTGGTTTCAAGCTATTCTCCTGCCTCAGCCTCCCGAGTAGTTGGGATTATAGGTATGCGCCACCACGCCAGCTAATTTTTTTGTATTTTTAGTAGAGACGGAGTGCACCATGTTGGCCAGGCTGGTCTTGAACTCCTGACCTAAACTGATCTGCCTGTCTAGGCCTCCCAAAGTGCTGAGACTACAGGCGTGAGCCACTGCGTCCGGCCGCCGAACTATTTTTCAAAGTAGTTGTACCATTTTACACTCCTCCCATTTCTAGTTGCTCCAAATCTGTCAACATTTATTTTCAGTCTTTTAAATTTAGTCAATCTAATACTTATGGGTGGGATCTCCCTGTGGTTCTTTCTGAATTTCCTGAATGGCCAACGATGTTCTGCATCTTCTCAAGGGCTTAATGACCATTCACATATACTCTTTTAAAATTTTTTTTTTTTTTTGACACGGAGTTTTGCTCGTCGCCCAGGCTAGAGTGCAATGGTGCAATCTTGGCTCACTGCAACCTCTGCTGCCTGGGTTC